AACTCCCGAAGCTTAATTTTTCTTTAATACATTATTTCATTCAGAGTTTTGGAGTATGTAAAAAATTATGTTAGGGTTGTTAAAAATTATGTTACATATTATAATGGAACGTAAATGTACTTATAATTCAAGAGGMCTTATGAAATACCGATTAATTTTTTTAATTAGCAGTATTTGTAGATAAAAACCTACTCACACAGTCTAGCTAGACTAGAAAAATATTTAGTTCAGCGTGTGTTCAAAGCGTAAGTAGATCAATCAGCAGTAGTGTTCAATATTTTTAATAAAACACTGAATTGTGTGTATGTGTTAATAAAATGGTGTTTTTGTATGTGCAATGTGCTTATGTATAAACATAAAGTATACACTATTATATGATTAATAAATACAATTTATTAGGTTACTATAGGTTATTTAATATTTAATAAATAAGGCACGGGACCAGTTGCGACTTAAACAAAATTTTCATTTTAGGGTCAGAATATAATAATAATTGCTCTAAGCTTATATTTTGGGTCAGTATACTAATTGCGCAGCATAAATTTTAGTTAGGTATGTATGTTTGTTTATGWACCTATATTCAAGTATATAATAAATTTACTTAACATTATTGACAATTTTCTGTAATTTACTGTATATATTGTAATTAATTTACGCTTAACAACTTCATGTTGAAAATTTCTATTATATCAATAAGTTCGATGACCTTGTATGTCAGAAACACCTTAAAATAAAAAATAAAAAAAGCATTATTAACGTTAATATTGTAAAACTGTAAAACAATAAATTTGTAAAAAATGACATATAAATCATTTTTGGTAAATATGAAATAAGCTATTTATATATTATTGCGAATAACTTAAGTTATCCACTAAAAACATAGATAGTGTTATTATTAAGTGATTTATTAAATTTTTTTTTTTATTATTATTATTAATTGTTTGTGGCATCAACTGCATGGTTATTAGCCGGCGTTACAATTTATTTAATTGTAATCATATATTTCTGTATATTCTATTCTATGTATTATTCATGTTTATATTCATTTTATTTCAACCAAAATACTATTATATGTGCTATGGAATAAAATAAACATTACTCAGAAAATTATTACAGATCGCAATTGATATATGAAAAAAACCATTTTAAACATTTAAACAMAATATTATTGGTAAGCTCTGAATGATAATAATAATAAAAATAGCATATGTATATTATTATGAACCTTATGAGCTCTTGTGGCTCAACAATTACAATATAATAGGGTCCACCAGTACAATATAATTATATAGTATACATAAAATCACC